GAGCCAATTTGACCAGAAAAAGCTCCAATTTCCCTCGAACCTGCCAGAAACCCTAGAAACGGGTGGCTTCGATCCGTCACCTCCGGTGCTCTGCCCCCCCTACAGTTGTTTGGGCTTTGTTTCAGGCCTCAAGAGGAGTCTAATAGTGGTGGTCATTGGAGAGAACGTTTCAGGATTGGTGGATCTTGGCAAGGTAACACGGCACCCACTAGTGTGGGTTTCACCAATTCAAGGTCAATTTTCATCAAATTTGGGGTGGAATAGGTAGAGGAAGGTTGTGGAATGTTTCCCAGGTGGTTGTTTGATATGATTCACCGAAAAAATTGCTTGAAAGGCGTCAGAAAGTATGAAACTTGTTGGGTCGAGTTGCGGGTCAGAAAAGGGTTTGGTTTTTCCCCCTCTTTCTCTTTTCCCTCATTTCCCTCATTTCTTCCCTCTCCTATTGGTTCACTCCTTCCCCCTTAATGATTTATCTGCCCCATCCTTTTCTCTCTTTTTCTTTTCATCTTAGCCACACACGTGGCATCATAGATAATTGCTCCAGCAACCTGGAGCCTTCTATATTAACAATTAAATGACCATTTTGTCCCTATCTTTGTTCATTTATATCTCTTTCGTTATAACTCCGTTTCGCGAACGGTTTTCGCCTACGCACTCATAGGGTCATCCTCTATTCAAATATGTCATTGTATAATTACATTAAACCAACAACTATGATATTTTCGTCTTTTCCGCTTATCAATATTTTTTACGATGTAGATTATAATAATTTCCGGAACAAAATGTTAAAATTTCTCATTTAAATTTTCATAACCATAAATTGATTTATTTTCGATTTTCTCCACATATTCATAATTATGAATATCTAATTCATATATTTAAATTTTCAGAGTATTACATGTCATGTGACAACCCGTCCCTAGCTCTACGATTTTATAAATTTTAAAAGAATGAATTTACGAAAATGCCCTAGAGGTGAAGGTTTTGACTTTCATTGACCAACGTATAGAGAAACGTATGACTTATTCACTTAGTGCATTGGTGTAGTACTCGTTGATACGAACGCATAGACGCCAAAGGAAGTGAATTTAGAGCTACGGGTGAGGTTTTACGGAGTCACAAATCTGAAAAGTGTGTTTCTAAGTGATTTCATTTATTATTATTATTATTATAAGTTATTTGGGAGTAATGAAGGAATGAAAAGAAACGGAGGGGGGTGGAAATGGGAGAAAGAAGAAAGGGTATTGGTTGCCTAATTAAATAAGAGAGAGATGGACCAATTGGGAGGAGAGAGTGATGGGAGTGACCAATCAGAAACAAAAGAAAGGTGGGGAAATGAGAGAAGAAGGAAGGGGGGACACGGGTTTGGCTTGTGCAAGCCTTCGGACCCGACCCGTTCCACCCACTTCTCAACGGTTCACCGTCATTTTTCCGGCGATTCAAACCTTCCCACTACCTGCAACCTACTCCATAACCTTCCCTCTTCCATTCCCTCTTCCATTTCCACCACAATTAGGATGAATTTGGTGGTAAATTGTTCAGAAACTGATAGTGGGTGCACTGAGACTTTTGCTCGAAATCCACCAATTGTGAAACGTTTTCCTTCAATTACCACCACCATCAGACTTTCCTAGAACCCAGGAATAAATCCCAAGCAATGGTGGAGGCGTAGGAGCAAGTTTAGAGGTCGAATCGAATCACACCAGATTCTAAGGTTCCAGCGGGTTTGAGGTAAATTGGAGCCTTTCCAGGCCAAATTAGACTTGGCCACAGATATAAAGTTTACTCTACTTATTGAGACCTACAATTTTGTAAATTTTGGTAATTTTTGGAAATAGTTGAATTTTCCGACAAATCGGGGCGGCCGACCGCCACCCACGGCGGTGCATGGCCAGGGGGCCATCTATTTATTCATTGGCTCATTAGATGTTTTGAGTTCAGTTTTGGTAATTGTATGACATAAGTTGATGGTTGGAACCTAAATTCTCTACGATACGTTAATTGGTAAAATGTGAATTGACGATTTGACCGTTGGATCGTCACCAAAATTTATTATGTTATAGTCCATAATATTTGAGTATCATAGGAACTTACGGATCAGGAATCCGACGTACGGATCTTCCCAACTTGGATTTGTAAGTTCATAAAATAAAATGTTAACCGTCACTTGGTTTTGACAATTGGCGGAGATCCGACCGTTGGATCGTAATAAAATTTTAGGCGGTTGTTCTAGAAGCATAATGTAGATCTTTGGAAGTAACGGAATGGAAATCTGTGATACGGATCTTCCAGATCGAATCGTAGGGATATGTTTTATGTAAATTATGTATTCCATTGATAAAAACTTTGAGGCGTGATTTGATAATTGTTCTAGGCGACAATGGTTCGTGATGTCGCAATATTCGTGCTACGGAGTCGTAGCGCGGACCTCAGGTAAGTGGGTATTTTCCTTTCTATCATGTATATATATATATATATGATTGATAATTCCACAAACGGTTATAAATTGATTATTTCATATAATTACTGTGAATGCTTTGAAGTTCTAATGCGAACTACGAATGGCTTGATCCTTGTTTAGGGTACGTAGGCAGTCTAACGAGACGTTATATGCAGCCATACCATAATTGAGACTAAATAATTGAGACAATAGCCTTGTTTGGGAAATTGTGCCATGTGAGGGACATTGGTGGAAAATGTGATATTTAACCTTATGACTTAGTGATTGATATTTGGAAGCACTACGATATGGTTAAGTTTTGGATTTGCATTAAGGCATGTCCATAAGCATATTATTGCGCATAATTATTGTGAATGCTTTAAAGTAAGAAGGTGAACGCAAAATGCACATATAAGTTCAGGTGAGTATATGTTGTGAAATGTGGGATGCATGGTTATGATTATATTTTATTTGGAATGATTGAGTGATGGCATGACTATATTATATTTTAAGCAACTCCGACACTGTCGTACAGATTGCAATAGAGGTAACTCCGACATTGTCATATAGGTTGTCTATAAGTCATCCTTGCCATATTAGATGCATTTAGAGCTCATAACCCTGCACCCCGGTGTTAGTTCTCTAGCTCGAGGACAGGGCCTAGCCTTCATATGATTGTTCACCTCCCACACCACAAGCTCATTGGATTCAAGGTAGGTGCCAGCCTGTAGTATAGACCACATTAGGTGGTTCCAACTCGTAGGTGACTTGCTATACTTCGCACAACCTTCACGTGATTGTAGCACTTGAGCGTAATTATTTACACCCAACCTGTCGTACAAATCACTAGAGGTGGTTCCGACTCGTGTGTAGAGATATGTGATGAGCTATGAGTTCAGTCGTACAGGCCACAAGAGGTGGATCCGGTTGACATATTACTGAGATATTGATTGATGAGATATGGATAAGTCGTACAGGTCACTATAGGTGACTCCGACTTATGAGCTAGCATTGATTGATGAGATATGGGTAAGTTGTACATGTCACTATATGTGACTCCGACTTATGTGCTAGCATTGATTGATGAGATATGGGCGCAGTTGTACAGGTCACATTAGGTGACTCCGACTTGCGTGTTGGTATGGATTATTGAGCACCTGATTATTTATATTGCTAATGAGATGCTGGGTAGTGGTATACTTCTGGATTTACCATTAGTATTCATTTAAGTTCATGTTTCTACATAGTATAATGTTATGGAGACTATACAGGTTTTACGGCGAGGGGTTACTATCTTTGATAATTGAAGTGATTTTGAAAATCTTTGTTTGCCCAGTCACACTTTCTAGTTTGCACCCCTCTAGGTTCTAGTAGCAAAGTTCTGTATTGATGAGGACTTGTGGTGCTCCCATTTCAGGTGGCTCCTTGTGATGGTATAATTATTATCTTACATTTACTGTACTTTACTTATGCTCTGACATCACGTGTGAAATTGATTCATTTTCGCTCACAGCGCACTCTTGAATTTATGCAATTTTAAATTTAAATTTATTCACTTTTTCCACATTATTACACTTTATGGCTCCGTCACCTTCCAGGTGTCAATTAGCAAGGCTCAATTCAGAGTCCTAGTTGACATTCCGGGTCGGAATGTGTCAAGTCATCCCATCAATTTATTAGATTTGATTCCTCCACATATATTTTGTGCTGTGTATTTTTTTGAATTTAAAAAGCCTAAAGAAATTATGCCCTCCCAAAATAGATATAAGAAAATTAAAAAACAAATAAATAAAAAAAAGACGCATAAAATGACTGCCTTCTTCTTTTAATTAAATGGAATGGAATCATGAAGCAAATTTCACTGCTAATAATATTCACTTAGTTATAATTGCAACAATATACATATTTGAGAGATTTAAGTTCAATTCTTGCCAAATACAAATTTGAAAACCACATAGTCTACCCCACCCATTAATATAAATAATATCGTCTATTATTTTTGGGTCAAACGATAGATTTTGTTAGATTAGCTACCGACGGGGTTCGAACCACACCTATTAATATAAATAATATCTGTTTTTTTTTTTTTGTTAAACGATAGATTTTGTTAAATTAATTACCGACGAAGTTCAGAACCCACGCCGTCATGTAATGATTCAAAGGAAAACTAATGAAAAATGCTTGAAAACTTTGAGTTTTAATGATAAGGACAAAATAAAAGGTAAAGTGAATAGTACCATGATTGACTTTTTAGTGTAAAAATGTGGTTTTTCGTTAAAGTGAACAGTACCAGGAACTTTTCGTTAAAGTTCCCATGATTCAATACCCTTCCACCATTGTGATAAATGACCATTTACAAATAATATCGTTTGTTAAAAGTATCTGATGCTTTCGAAGCTTCTCCTTAATTGAATTCTTTTTTTTTCCTAAAAAAAAAAAAAATCATGTGACAGCGTGGTGTCACGTAACAAGGATATGCCGCGTCGTACCAAGAATCTCCCCAACATAAGACACCGGTACTGAAACTCAAGTGGCATAACTACAACTTTTAACTTATAATCTTAACCTGAATATTCTCAGCCACCAGCCACCAGCCACCCTCTCTCTCTCTCTCTCTCTCTCTCTCTCTCTCTCTCTCTCAACCTTGAATATTCTAAGCCATCAGCCACCCCCCTCTCTCTCCCTCCCCCGTACCGCCGCCGTCTTCGACTCCTCACATTTCCATATCCAATAAAAAAGAGCAACATGTTGGCATCAAACCTGCCAAAGAGCCCCTTCTTCCCCACCCGCTATGTCCCGGTCTCCCCCTCCTTCCACATCACCTGCAGCGTCTCGCAGCTGCAATCGGCGGCGGAAGCAGTGAACGGCAGAGTTGCCGAACGGAACGAGATTCGCCTCGGCTTGCCCAGCAAAGGCCGTATGGCTGCCGACACTCTTGATCTCCTCAAGGACTGCCAGCTGTCCGTCAAGCACGTCAATCCTCGTCAATACGTCGCCCAAATCCCTCAGGTTCCTGAATTTCATCAAATATCCTTCAAATTTACTTTTTTTTTTGTTTATGGTAAAAATTAATTTGATTTTCCATGAATTTTACTGCGTGCAGCTTTCGGACTTGGAGGTGTGGTTTCAACGGCCGAAGGACATTGTGCGGAAATTGTTGTCCGGAGACTTGGACCTTGGCATTGCGGGTTTTGATACTGTCAGTGAATACGGAGAGGTAGATATCTCAATCTGTTAATCCAATTTTATTAATTTTAGGGTTTTTTCAATTGTTTACGTCATTGGGTTGTCCTTTGTTTTCATTTTTGTTGAATTTCGTTACAAGTTTTGCAACTTGCTATGAATATGGACTGATAACATGTCACGAAATTGGAGTGATTTGTGTATGTTCTGAAATTAACTGCAGTCATTGCATGCAACAACAACAACAAAGCCTTTTCCCACTAAGTGGGGTCGGCTACATGAATCATAGAACGCCATTGCTCTCGGCTATATAAAGCCTTTTCCCACTAACTGCAGTCATTGCCTCTCTTGAAGAAATCTGCTAGCTATCTAAAATGATTCTGAAGAAGTACACTGTTGTTTAAAAAGCTTATCATTTGGGTTGAAAGCGAATCGTTTAAAATACAGTAGGGTTTCCCTGTTTTAATTAGTTCAGGGAAGACCCAGGACTGTGGTTGACAAACCAGGGAATAAGTTAGAACCAGAAACAGCTGAACATATGCACGCACTAGTGCGGACTAACAGCTCATAAAGCATTATGGTATCTGTGTTTTCATCACTTCTAATACATATGGATGCTCTAGTATAGTTCGTCTGAATTTGAAACTAGGACCATCTCCTAGTATCTCTGGACTTTTAGTTTTTGAATTGTGAGTCGTGACTGGTCAACTGGAAATGGAGGTCTTTTTCTGGTATGGAACTCTTTCATTTCATACATTGTGTCAAGAAAATTGCTTGCAGTAATGTTGGCCTTCTACTTAAGAATGTTTCAGTAGTTATTATTTTTGTTATCCAAAATGAATATGAACTACTGCATTGATATTTAACGTTTATCACTGATATTATTCATTCAAAGAGAATGGAAAGCTGATCATCCAAAGTTGTCTTTTAGGGGAATGAAGATCTTATCATTGTTCATGATGCTCTTGATTATGGGGACTGCCGTTTATCCCTTGCAGTGAGTTGCTTTTTCATTTCCCAAATTGAAGACTCCAATTATTCCACTTGTATCTTGAATACCTTCAAAATTTCAAATATCCTTTGTTTTTTCAGATTCCGAAATATGGGATTTTTGAAAATATAAATTCACTGACAGAGCTAGCACAAATGCCTCAATGGAATAAAGAGAAACCTCTCCGAGTTGCTACTGGCTTCACCTATGTATGCATTGTATTTATGATTTTTGTTCTTGTATTATTCTTCACTCTCTACGCTGGGAACAAGTTTCTTTTGCTGTCTCTTTGGAAATAAGGGTTTTGTTTGCATTTTTCATTTTCTTCTTCTATTGCAGCTTGGTCCTAAATTTATGAAAGATAATGGATTGAACCATGTGAGTTTTTCAACTGCTGATGGAGCACTCGAGGCAGCTCCTGCGGTAAGAATGTACTTTGTCAGAGTAACTGTAAAATTTGGTGGGATGTTTTTAATTTATGTGGAGCATTGTCCTATAATGAGGTTGCATTGCTCCAAGTGTAGTATAAAGCATGACACATATTTGCCAGCATATATATATATATATTCAATTTAATGTTTCATGATTCGATTCGATGAAAAACATAGATTATTGATTTATCATCTACTTACCAATATCTAAACATAAGCTGTCTCATTGAACATTATACTAGTCCAGACTTCTATTGGATTCTAGTTGCTGCAGTTAAAAATCTTAAGATGACGATATTGCTTGAATCGACTGAATCCATGCTTAAGTTTAAGATGACAATACATTCAGTGACTTTGTGGTTAGGTAGTTGACTCAAACGAGATGGTCAACCTTTTGTACTGATATGGACAGTGGAAAACGGTTGTGAAGAATAATGAAAATAGGGATTTAGGGTTTATGGAGGAGATCTTGACCAACTTTACATTTTTTTGTGTAATGATTCTCTTCCCTTTATTCCATGACGTCTACACCTTTATATGGTGTCATATTAGTCCAATCAAATGCCATTTAACTACAAAATAGGATAATACTAACTCACTACAACTCTACTAATTAGGCCATATTTTAACAACTAGAAAATAATGTTCGTTTAGAAAAAACACGTAACATGTAAATGTAACTTGATGTGGTGTTGTTGGCCTTGAAATCTGAAGCTGGGGAGAAGATAATTAAATACTGCTTGTCTCTCTTTTAAATTTAGATGGGGATAGCTGATGCAATTTTGGACCTCGTGAGTAGTGGGACGACGCTGAAGGAGAACAACCTAAAAGAGATTGATGGGGGAGTTGTGTTACAAAGCCAGGTAGGCTTCTTGGTTTATGGCTTATATTTCCAAGCATGTGATCTCGTAGGTTTAAGCATGCATCTAGAAGGAGCTGGTTCAAAACCCTGCTCCTTCTATATCTTCTCATATGGTTGTAATTAGAATTTCTTTAGGCAGTTCTTGTTGCAAGCAAGAAGTCATTGATCCAAAGGAAAAGCGCCCTTGACACGACACATGAGATTCTTGAAAGATTAGAGGCACATCTAAGGGCTCAGGGTCAGTTCACGGTGCGTATTGCATGTCTTTAAAAAATAAAAATCCAGTTTTGTCCCTTCAGTTCTTGTTTTCTTACACATTTATGGCAGGTAACTGCAAATATGAGAGGAAATAGTGCAGCGGAAGTGGCTGAGCGAGTCTTGAGCCAGCCATCATTATCTGGTTTGCAGGTGAGGTTTGAAATGAAGCATCACTCCATCTAACCCTGAATCATAAGTTGCAGTATATCATAATAAGTGGTCTTTTATCATTATAATATATAAACCGATCCTTTTTTTTTTAATTTTTCTGATGAGTTTGTAAATAATATACATGGTTACACATGCAGGGACCCACCATAAGTCCAGTTTTTTGCAAACGTGGTGGGCAAATTGCAGCCGATTACTATGCCATAGTCATATGTGTACCAAAAAAGGCACTCTACAAGTCCGTTCAACAACTGAGAGCGGTGAGCCTTGATATTTATTATAAAACTGTTGGTCAATGTTGTGTAAAATGAAAGCCAACTCTTCTCTTTAATTGTCCAAATCTTCCCTCTGATATGGTTTTACAAACGATAGTTGAAATTTGGTTAATACTTAGAGCTAACAGAAGACTTGGTGCAAAACCTAGCACAAAGGCGTTCTGGATTCATACAGCCGACCCCACTTAGCGGGATAAGGCTTTGTTGTTGTTGAAATTTGGTTCGAAACTGTTTTTTACTTTTCAGTTAGTCATTTGCTAATATGCTGGAATAATGGTTCTAAATTAGAACTGGTTGTGAATATTGGGTTTGAAGTTTCTCTGCCTACCTATTAGCTGCATATATCATTGTGCCTGCCTCTTGTGCGCAAGACATATTTTCTTGTTCTGAAATTTTGAATCTGATTCCATGTTTGACTGAAGGATTTTCCTTCCCTTGGATACCGGGGTTTAATCTCCTTGCTCTAATTTGTTCAGATTGGAGGCAGCGGAGTTCTAATTTCCCCATTGACCTACATTTTTGATGAAGAAACACCAAGATGGCGTGAACTTCTCACAAAGCTTGGCCTCTAGTTCTCTCTAGCCGATGATGTGCACGGTTTGTTGTAATTTTCTGTAGCTATGGCAGTTTTTAAGAGTTTGATGAGCAAACACATATTGATACCTATCTTTGGATTGACAACTTGGCTTGTAATCGGAGTAGTGACTTAAAGATATTTCCGTTTTGTATGCGATTTTTTTCTTATCCTCTATATCCCTATTTTGGTTAGTCCGACGACAACTCTCAATTTTTTTACCATTTTTCAGTACCATTATGTGTAATATTCGTGGATTTTGAACATCTGTATGCATTTGTCTTTCAGAATTATCCAACCATGATTAAAGTTTTGAAGCCGATTTTACGTGCATTGTAATTTTGTTATTGAGCGCCTACTATGATGGAAGCCATTGTTTCTAGCAACTCTATGAAACATTAGGGCTGTGTTTTGTGCACCTCCTTGGAAGGGCTAAGGAATTATTGTCTTAAGTAACGCTCGTAACCCGTGTTTGCTATCAAGTGGTTCGAAATTGCTTCGCTATGCAACGACGTGCTCTGCCACCTCGCTAACAAGAAACTCGCACCGGTGGTTTTCAAATTGAATGATTTTTTTTTTCAAAGATGAACTTCATATGACGATAAAGATGAACTTCATATGACGATAAAGATGAACTTCATATGACGATAAAGAGGGCGAACAATTTCAACTTTAAAGGAACTTATTGAGAAAGTTACCGCACAAAGCTTCTTAGGCAACTCGAACCACTATTATTCTTAAAAACCAACTCAAACGAGCACCCGAGGGGAGCGAGTCCAACCAAATGGAAGAATTTTGACCTATCTAGGAGAGAGTAATTGCCACAAATTGCTTCATGGAAGACATGCCGAAAAACAATATCTTGAACTTGACAAGCCAATTTTTGGATATTAACCATCAAGGTTTTCAGTTTTCTAGGGAGCCAAAATGCTTCCATTAACAGCACCAATAAGCAACTTGGAACCCCTCCCACAATCAAACGTGAAAACACCTTTAGGTAATGCAACTTAGACCATCTCTAACCGAAGGGTCCAGAGGGCCGAAAATAGCCCTAAAACCGTATCCAACCGAGAGCTAGGCCAGAGGGCTCTGGAATCTGGGAGGGCCCCACGGGATCAGAGAGGGCTAGAGGGCTGGCTATTTTTTTTTAATGTTTTCCTATTGCTGTCGGTTATAACCGACAGTAATAGTTATTCAAAAGCAAAATTTTTCTTTGTAATTACTATTAGTGTCGGTTATAACCGACACTAATAGTTTGAATTTTTTTTTAATATAACGGCTAGTAGCCGTTGTATTAACTTTTTTTTTTTTTATGAATTTAAACTTATTTTTTTCCCTTTTTTTTTCTTTTCATATGAATCAAATTTTGTTTCATATTTTTTTTCAATTCTATTTTACAAAATTTGTTTCAATTTTTTTTTAAATTCTATTTTTTTTCCTATAACTTCTATTTTACAAAATTTGATTCATATTTTTTTTCATATAACTTCTATTTTACAAAATTTGTTTCATATTTTTTTAAATTCCATTTTTTTTCCTATAACTTCTATTTCACAAAATTTGTTTCATATTTTTTTTCAATTCTATTTTTTTCCTATAACTTCCTAGGCCATTTATACAACATTAAATTAAATTAAGTAACATGAAACAACATTAAACAATATGAAACAACATTAAATAACATTAACCAACATACAAATTATACAACATAAAAAAAACATTTAACAACATAAAACTTAAACAACATGCCCGGAAACCCACGGTCTTCAGCTTTGTGAAGGAGCCGATTCAAATCCAACGGCTAGCTGACGTCAGCATGATGTCAGCTACCAACGGCTAGCTGACATCATGTTGACGTCACTTAGCCGTTAGATTTGAATTTAAATTGTAGTTTTTAAATAATAAATTATGTTTGGCCCTATGGCCCTTTGGGCCTCGGTTGGAGACGGTTTTTTGTGACAGAGCTAAAACGAGCCCTCTGGCCCTTTGGCCCTCGGTTGGAGACGGAGGCCAATATGGCCATGTACTGTTCATTAAAATATTAATATCTTGGGGAATCTTGGAGGGCCAGAGGGCTAAAACGAGCCATCTGGCCAGCCCTCGGTTAGAGATGGCCTTACAGTCTATCCTCAAGAGCCTGGCCTTCAACAATAATATAAAACAACATATTTTTTGGCTCCTCACATCATAAATTAGAGCTTTCTTGCAATGCCACCGATTCACTATATGTCAAATGCTATTAAACGAGGAATACAGTATTGATCACTTGACAAGCTTCCGCAAGTGAGACAAGCAGAAAACATTTACCCGTAGTTGACAAAAACTCACATTTTCGACTCGGAATTATTACCCAACCCTAATTATTCGGGTCATGTGCCCATATTAGCCCATGAGAACCATGGGACCCATCCATATTAACAAGTAAGCCATAATGTAAACCCATTTTCCCCCACTTCACTGTTCGCCACCACTAGTCTTCTGCTTCTCCCGCCCTCCGCCAAGTTGAACTACGGCGTCGTTCGCCGAGTCGCCACCGCCATCTTAAGGACCCGGTGCACCTCGTCGGGTTTCTAGGCCGCCTGAGTTGCCCACTCATTTTTACTGATTTGAAGATTTTTCCCGAAATAGGGTTTTAGGTTTTAGGGTTTTGGGGGCTATTAGTACGAGAAGATGGGAAGCAGGTCGACATTGGCAGGCATGGAGGTCCCAATCATCGGCAGCGATTCATTGAAATGGATTGGAATCTCTGCTCCTCCTTCTGACGCCTCCACTGATGCTGATATTCCTGCTGCTAGTACTTGTGTCCCTCCTCTTACAGACGATATCGCCTCTTCCGTCGCCATTGGAGACCCTCCTGTACATCTCATATGGTACTCTCTCTCTCCCCCCCTCTCTCTCTCTCTACCTATTTCGAGTTTGTGCGTTTTCCTTTATACATTGTTCATTTGTTATGCCTCTTGTAACAGGAGAATTCACAAGGACCATCCTCACGAACTCGAGTTATTCGAGCTCAGTGCTACCAAAGACTTCCCCAAAGTCGGACTTCGAATCACTTTTCCAGAAGCGCTATCTCCCTTGGTTCGTGTTTGTAAAAGTGAGGTAAGAATTTATTTCTTACTGTCTACTCTACTGTATTGTTTCTCTCTGAAAATGAGTCATACATTGTTATGTACGTTGCAGGTTGATATGGGTTTTACTAGCCACCCCTACTTGGTTTATGCATTGACTGTCTCGGGGATGGCTTACCTTTTCAAACTTGGACCCATCTCTACTTATGTGTCCCGCTATGTTTTCCGGGAGGATGAGGTTGCCAAGTTTAATATGAACGCCTATGTACCAGTAACAAGTGCTGCAGGAACACCATCTGGGTGCCTTGTAGTTGGGAGGGATGATGGATCCATAGCTTGTTTCCAACTGGGCAGACTTGATCCCACTGCTCCTGGTATTATCAAATTCCTCATGCTGTCTGGTTCTTGTGTTGTGTGCCCTTGTAACCATTCAATTGCTTTAAGCATGCTTTCCTTCAGCTTCATCAATCTAGTGGTTTGGACTTGGTGTTAAGCATGCTGCTATTTTGCACCCTATAATTCTAATTTTTTTCTCCCCTTCCCATAGGTTTTGCGCTGGAGCTGCGGGATGAATTGGGAATTGGTCGTTTGTGGGGTTTCATGTCAAGGTACGCTTGTTAACTATACTACCAGAAAAACTTACAAGTAAAAACATTTAGTTTGCGTACATATTTGTCTTATTGTTACTTGTGATTATTTAATAAGTTGTTTTAAGTAATTAGTGAAGTTATGCTTGTGGATGATCATTCTGGTCTATGCGAATTGAATCTTAACTTGTTGCCAAAGATGATTAAATTGAATTTCAAATGTTTTGGCTTGGTTGGTGTTGGTACACGGGAGGGTCAACACTTGCGATTACTCCAAAAACATAGGTTGAGATCATATTTATGTCCACCGGTGTGCTTTATGCAATAAGATTAATGTTTGAGATCATATTTATGTCCACCCTGGTGTCCTTTTAATTGGAGGCTGTGGTGATCTTTGATTTAATGTGATTAATGTTTGTTGGGTGGCGCCAGAGGAGTACTTTGCTTTGTTGAGCGAGAAATTTTTTTTTTTTGAGAAGTCGTTGAGTAAGAAGTTTAGAGTACCAGGTGGACTAAATTATTATGGGGCTGTCTGGTGCTGGGTATTGTTTGGGCTATGGTCAGAAAGAAATCAGCTAATTTTTGAAGATGTTAGGGGTTGGAAGTGGAAGAGGTATTAGAAAAGGTCAAGCATTAGGCAACACATTGGGCTTCTGTATCTTCTACTTTCAGGAATATATCTTTATCGACCATTATACTAGACTGGAAGGCTGCAGTGTCCGAATTATTCTAGGTTTTTCTCACAGCCGAGCTTTCTGTAATAGTGTTATTTTTCTTCCTGCTCCTGGTGGATTTCTTGTTCACTTTACTGTGCAGCTTTCCTTTTGAAATTAATTTTCTGTTTTTCAAAAAATTGAGTTTTAAGTGTTACTGAATGGTTCTAAGTGTAGCATAGCCTATTTATTTGCCTATTTATTTGACATTTATAATGCTTTGTTTAATTAAAACAATATACAAGTATACATGGCTCTGAACTCTTTTGCTTCATATGCTGTAAACAAGTTTATACTTCATTCTGTGACTGATGTTGGAGGCATAATTTAGAGATCAAGGTTTTAATATTGTCGGGTGAGAAGAGCTAGGAATCAATTAATATGTCATCTATTATTTGGTCAGATTAAACAATAAAATGTGAAATGAAATGAAATTGCTTACATATTCCCTTGGGGATAAAATGAAATGGGAGCTTTGTCAAATCAGACATCCACATGGCCAGAATCAAAGCTTCCACTTATATATACATAATATTACGATATATTAGCCCCTGGATCTTTTTCACGGTCTTTTGTAACTTAAGTATCCTTCTATTTGTATCATGCCACTAAGCTTTTCTTTGACTTCAAAGCTGGATGGCAAAGGCTGCAGATTATGCAGGTTATTTTCTTTATTTATTTTCATTTCTAATTCTTATACCGACAATTCCCAATCCCAAGTAGCATTTGAGTATTCGTTGTGTGGTTATCCTGTGAATTAACCATTCTTGAATGCCAAAATGTGATCATTTTTCTTTTTATTGGTATATTACTGTTTTTACGTTTGGAATCCTGTAGGTTAAATGAAATAGAAAAGATAATACTATGAGTTAACTTGGTCCGCTCCTCTTTGAATTGGAAGTAGGATCTTTTGTTACAATGTGTGAAATGCTAGTTGTGTTGTTTATTG